CTTTAATATTTTTTTTCTTGGGGTTTTTATTCTTGGTGCGCGCTGATACATACGTTGTTGTTGTTTTTTATATATCGCCCACTTCTTCTTTTTCTTCTGCGCAGATGCCCCCTAGACGAGCATTCGTTGATCCTACCCGTGCGTCCACAGGGGGCGAAGCCGGGCTACGGTCCCGCTTCCAGCGGGATTCCCTTCTGCGTGGCGTGCTTGAGGAAAACGAGGACATGCTGCGTGAAATTGACGACCTTCGTGACAAGGTGAAGGTACAGGCCCATGAACTTTTGTCTGCGAAGAAGCGTATACACAATTTGGAGGCACGGCTTTCAGGGAACGAGGTGGCTAAGCACGCAATGTATGAAAAGATCGATGATGTCAATGCTGTTCCAGTTGACAGGGCTGGTATTTTGCGTTCCATATTGAAGACGATTTCGGCGTACCAGTTCGGTAACTGCTACGCACGCATCCTTGCCCGCAGCCAACGGCTGGTGGCGAAACCTGCTGAGACTCCCCAATACCTCAGGGGCGAATGTGAAAAAGAGTATGAGGTGCCGAAGGAAGAGGAGGCGACCATGATGCGGCAGGCGCTTCGTGAGTCAAACCGACGCCTGGACGAGGCGTATTCTCTCCTTCAGTCTTACCAAGAGACACCCAGTTTTTCAGTGACCGAGTACGATGAATTAGTTATTGCTTGTATGATGGAAATTATTGGCTTGTCAAAGTCGATTAATGTTATGATCCTTGAGGAGCGTGAGTTTCCCGCGGAAAGGGCGAGGCAACTCATTGCCGCCCATGGGGGGCACATCTGCGATGGGGCAGAAATTATAACTCCCCGATTGCCCTCAAAACCGTGAGTGGAGCTTTTATGTCAGTGGCGCCATTCGCGGCGTGCTCCTCTCTTCTTTTCCTCATCGCACTCCCTCGTCTCATCGACGGCACAAGATGTAAGACGCATGCATATGCACTTACTTGCGTGTTGTTTTTTTGTCTCTTGTTCATTTCTTCCTTCGCTGCCTTTTAACTTCTCTCTCTTGCCGTTGCGTAAATAATAATACTAACTGATTAACCATGCAACCCTTCCTGCACTGAAGGCAAAGGGAAACCATGAAGATCAGGGCGCAGGACCGCATCACGTTCCCGGAGGACGTGGAGGTGTCCGTGAAGGACCGCGTCGTCACCGTCAAGGGGAAGCGCGGCACACTGACGAAGGACCTCCGCCACCTGCAGCTGGACTTCCGTGTGAACAATAAGTTCCGCACCTTCACCGCCGTCCGCTGGTTCGGTACAAAGATCAACAACGCCACCATCAACACGGCGCTGTCGCACGTGCGCAACATGTTCACGGGTGTGACAAAGGGCTTCCGCTTCAAGATCCGCTTCGCCTACGCGCACTTTCCCATCTCCGTCTCCGTGGAGGATCAGCTTGTGGAGATCCGCAACTTCCTTGGGGANAAGCGCGTTCGCCGGCAGCTCGTCGCCGATGGCGTCAAGGTCTACCGCACGGACCCCTCCGTCGTGAAGGACGAACTCGTGCTGGAGGGCAACGACCTGGAGGAGGTCTCGCGCGAGGCCGCCGTGATGCACC